AATTCTACACAGCATCTTCTCAGACCACAATGCTATAAAACTAGAAATCAACAATAAGAAGACCAAAACAATAAAGTCGAATACATGGAAACTGAAAAACATCCTGCTGAAAAGTGACTGGGTAAAAGAAGAAATTAAACGTGAATTCACAAAGTTTCTAGAAACAAACGAGAATGAAGCCACAATATACCAAAATCTTTGGGACATGGCGAAAGCAGTTCTGAGAGGACAGTTTATTGCGATAAATGCACACATCCAAAAAGAGCAAAGAGCCAAAATCAACACCTTAACACAGCATCTTCAACAGTTAGAAACAGACCAGGAGAGGGAACCTACAGTCACCAAAAGAAGGGAAATAATAAAGATAAGAGCAGAAATAAATGAGATGGAAAATCAAAAAACTATAGAAAGAATCAACAGGACAAGAAGCTGGGTCTTTGAAAAGATTAATAAAATTGACAAACCATTGGCAAAACTAACTAAAGAAAAGAGGGAGAGGATACAAATAAAATTGCATTAGAAACCATATAGGTGAAGTCACAACAGAACCAAACGAAATGAAAAATAACAATACTATGAAGAGCTGTACTGCAGCAAATTCAGAAATTTGGATGAGATGGATACATTTCTAGAAAAACATGACCTACCTAAACTTACACAGACTGAAGTAGAAAATTTGAACAAACCCATAACAAAAGAAGAAATTGAACAGGTCATCAAAAAACTTCCAACCAACAAAAGCCCAGGCCCAGATGGTTTCACGGGTGAGTTCTACTAAACATTCAGAGAAGAACTGTCACCAATTCTACTCAAATTATTCCAGAACATAGAAGAGGGTGGAAAATTCCCTAATACTATTTGTGAAGCAAACATAACCCTCATACCAAAACCAGGGAAGGACATCACAAAGAAAGAAAATTATAGATCAATATCCCTCAAGAACTTAGACACAAAAATTCTCAACAAAATCCTAGCCAACAGAATCCAACAGCACATCAAAAAAATAATACATCATGACCAAATGGGTTTCGTAAAAGGGATGCAAGGATGGTTCAACATCAGGAAATCAGCATAATCCATCATGTAAATAAGAAAGAGGAAAAGAACCACATCATATCGATTGATGCAGAAAAGGAATTTGACAAAATCCAACATCCATTCTTGATAAAAACACTCAACAAAGTAGGAATTGAAGGGAAATTCCTCAAGATAATCAAGAGCATATATACAAAACCAAGAGCCTCTCAATGGAGAGAAACTGAAAGCATTCCCTCTGTGAACAGGAACCAGACAAGGATGCCCTTTATCACTGCTCCTATTCAATATTGTGCTGGAAGTTTTAGCCAGAGCTGTACAGCATGATAAAGAAATTAAAGGCATCCAAATTGGCAAAGAGGAAGTAAAACTCTCCTTATTTGCAGACAATATGATCCTATACATAGAAAACCCCGAAGACTCGGTGATAAAAACTATTAGACCTCATCGAAAGATTCAGCAAACTGGCAGGGTATAAGATCAACATACAAAAATCAATTGGATTTCTTTATAGCAACAGCAATAGCAATGAAAAATTAGGAAAGCAATACTATTTACAATAGCCACACAAAGGATGAAATATTTAGGAATACACAACAGAGAAACAAAGGACTTATCCAAAGAAAATTACAAAGCACTGCTGCTACAAGAAACCAAAAGAGACCTACAGAAGTGGAAGAACGTACCATAGTTCCTGGATAGGAAGACTTTGTGAAAATGTCAATACTGCCCAGAGCAATTTACACATACAATGCAATCCCAATCCTGATTCCAACAACATTCTTCAAAGAGATGGAAAGAACAATTACTAATTTTATACGGAAAGGAAAGAGACCCAGGATCAGCAAAGCACTGCTTAAAAGAAAGAACAAAGTTGGAGGTCTCTCACTCCCCGATTTCAAACTTTACCACATGGCTATGGTGGTCAAAGCAGCCTGGTAATGGTACAATGAAAGATACATTGATCAATGGAACAGAATCGAGAATCCAGATATTAACCCAACCACATACAGCCAAATGATTTTCGACAAAGTGCCTAGGCACATTGCATAGGGAAGAGACAGTCTCTTTAACAAATGGTGCTGGCAGAACTGGAAAGCGATATGTAAAACACTGAAACAAGACCTTTGCCTCACGCCTTATACAAAAATGAACTCAACATGGATTAAAGATCTAAATGTGAATACCAAAATTATGAAGATCATCAATGAAAAAATAGGGACAAACATGAGGGTGCTAATTCAGGGCATGTACAGACTACTACATATTTTGAAAAGTTCACAAACAAAAATAGACAAAATAGATGAGTGGGACATACTAAAAATTGAAAACATGTGTATATCAAAAGACTTCACCAAAAGAGTAAAAGGAAACCACAGACTGGGAAAAAATCTTTTGCAACAACATATCAGATAAGGGACTCATTTCTAAAATATATGGGAAAATACTACACATCGACAAAAGTAAGACAAATAACCCAATTAAGAAATGGGCACAGGATATGAACACATACTTCACCAAGGAGGAGATCTAGGTAACCAACAAACATGAAGAAATGTTCATGATCACTAGCCATTAGAGAGATGCAAATCAAAACAACAATGAGATATCATCTCATACCAGTAATAACAGCAAAGATCAAAAAAGTTGAGGACAATAAATGCTGGTGGGGATGTGGAGAGACTGGGATGATCCTACATTGGTAGTGGGATTACAAAATGGTCCAACCTCTCTGGAAAGCAATATGGTGCTTCCTCAGAAGGTTGAAAATAGAAATACCTTATGATCCAGCAATTCCTCTACTTGGTATTTACCCACAAGAAATACGAGCCACAACACGAAAAAATATATGCACACCAATGTTCATAGCAGCACTATTTACAATAGCAAAGAGATGGAGACAGCCGAAGTGACCATCAACTGAAGAATGGATAAACAAACTTGTGGTACATGCACACAGTGGAATATTATGCTACCTTGAAGAATAACAAGGAATCTGTAAACCACTAGTTAACATGGATGAGCCTTGAGGGCATTATGTTGAAAGAGAAGTACTGCATAGGGCCACTATTTTAAAAGACTTAAGAAAAAGAACCCATACTAAAGGGGGTGGGGGGACTCTTTGCTGATTGCTGGGATATAGGGGGTGGGGTGAGGGGAGGGACGGAAAGGTAGAGCATAGGGCAGGGAATGGACACAGGATAGTTAGGGTGCTGTGGAGGGGGGCAATACACAAGGGGAGAGAGGAATGGAAGAACAAAGCAGAGGGGAGAACAAGTAAGCAGGTTCACATGGGCTAAGTGGTACAGAGGTAAATGATAATGTATACACAACCTTGGAACAACAGGGCGAGGAGGTACACAGATTGAGATATGGTTGGGATAGATAAAAACGAGGAAATAATGATGCTTGGCTAGCTACTGAATCTTGTTATTCCTTGCGTTACATTATAAAATAGACACTGGAAGGGGAGAGAAAGGAAAAGCCAGAAATATCACCATGGAACGCTTGTAAGTCTTTCTTCTGCCTGTAAGTGATTGGAATACCTAAAATGGGGATACAACATGCCCAGTGAAGGAGGCTGCCTGTGGAGCCTCTGCATTACTTAAGACTATAGGTGGAATCCTGAACAGCATCCAGAATATTCAGAGGTGGGAAATTTCCCCTTGAGAGGATGGGCAGACCAGCCTAGAGTGGCTAGAAGAACAGAAGATACCTCTTGAAAGAAAGATTGACAGGAAAAACACAAAACAATAGAGGCAGACCGATCAATTACTACAAGAACAAGCAAGCTGCTGGCCCAGGAGTCATCAAGGCAAGGGGTTGGGTCCCCTCAGAGTAAACCCCCTTCCAAGACTCATACTCAGTGGGAATAACGCTCGGATGGGTGACCATGTTCGCACTGACAAGGGGAAATGAGGGAAAAATAGCTATCAGGCTGCAAACTAAGCCCTACAATGGTCAATAGATTCCTGTGAACCCAGGTGGAGACCTGGTTGGCCAGCAGTATGTCAATACCTGGGACTCTTGGGCCCATAGTCAGTGACATAGCCATGGAGGACTGGAGTGGAGGGTGCAGTGTCTAGTGGATAAGAAGAGAGGACATATCCACAAGAGCACCCACACTTGCAGATAATACCCAGTTGACCTAGCCTCAATGACTGGGTGATCAGAGCTCAACTAGAAGAAGAAAGAAGAGGAAAAAAAAGCGTAACCTTATACAATTTGATGAACTTGACCTACACCTAGGATGCAGTAGCGCAAAAGAGGGAACAAATCTTTGCAGCAGAGAT